CTCAGGGAGCTCTCGGCGCAGGCCACGTGGAGGACGTGCTGCTCATCATGGACGTGTACAAGCTGGCGCTGAGCTTCCAGCTGTGCCGCCTGGAGCAGCTGTGTCGGCAGTACATCGAGGCCTCCGTGGACCTGCAGAACGTGCTGGTCGTGTGCGAGAGCGCTGCCAAGCTGCAGCTGGGCCAGCTGAAGGTGCCTCGTAGCCCACCCCGCCCACTGCTGCCAGCCCCTTGCCCGGTCTGGTGCCCCCTTGGGGCCGAGGCCTGACCCTGCCCGTCTGTCCGCCTGTCTGTCCCAGGAGCACTGCCTGAACTTCGTGGTGAAGGAGTCCCACTTCAACCAGGTGATCATGATGAAGGAGTTCGAGCACCTCTCATCCCCACTGATTGTGGAGATCGTTCGGCGGAAGCAGCAGCCACCGTCTCGCGCCCCCTCAGACCAGCCCGTGGACATTGGTAGGAAGCCTCGTCCTTTCCCTGCCAGGGGCTGGCCAGGTAGCATTCACCTGCCAGGCTCTCAGGCAGGGGTGGAGGGGTGGGTGCAGAGGACCCCAGTGTGTCTCCCTGGGGCAGGGGCAGAGGGAGGCAGTTCAGGCTCAGTTAAAGGAACAAGGGCCAACCCACCGGGCTTTCCACCGTGGGCGTGTGCCTGCGGGTAGGGAACCTCCTGAGCCCATTTCTGGAGGTGACACGGGGCACCTCTCTGGTAAGGGTGCCTGCGCTGCCTGACATCAGGTCTGAAAGCCTCTGAAGTGGGCGATGTGCTCAGCGTCACAGTGATTAGTCACCGAGCTTCGCTTCTAGGGCCCAGTGAGGGGTGAGCACAGCCTGCAGACCTCAGAGGCTCCCACTGCCCCCTGCCCCCCTACCCGGGAAGGGAGGACACAGGCTCCTTTATCCCCGTCTCTCTCTGGGGCCTGTGCTGACCCTGGTCACTGCCCCGGGCAACATAGGGTGTGCCAGGCCCAGAGGAGGGCTCAGGGAGCTGAGTTTGGGAGATTAGACTCTGGGGGTGGGCATGCCTGAGGGCTGTGTGTGGAGCTGAGAACAGGGCCTGATGGTGCCTCAAGGGCCAGAATGAGGCCTCTTGCCTGGAGGAGGTTCATTCAGGGCGGCAAATGGGCAGATGTGTAGGAGGAAGTGCCCTGGGGCCCTGAGGCCGAGTCAGGAGCAGGGGCTACTGAGGGGCAGGAGGTGCCTGCTCAGGGTCCCTCCATGCCCCTCCAGGCACATCTCTGATCCAGGACATGAAGGCATACCTGGAGGGGGCCGGCGCGGAGTTCTGTGACATCACGCTGCTGCTGGATGGACACCCCCGGCCAGCCCACAAGGCTATTCTGGCTGCCCGCTCCAGGTGGGTGGGGGTGCAGCTGCCAGGCAGGGCGGGCCCAGGCAGGCCCTGGCTGCATCCGCTAAGAGCCAGGCCTCTGCCGCCCCCTGTCTGCAGCTACTTTGAGGCCATGTTCCGGTCCTTCATGCCTGAGGATGGGCAGGTGAACATCTCCATCGGGGAGATGGTGCCCAGCAGGCAGGCCTTCGAGTCCATGCTACGCTACATCTACTACGGTGAGGTCAACATGCCTCCTGAGGACTCGCTGCATCCTCACCCCCGAGGGTGCTCCCAGGGCATCGCCGGGGCTCCCAGCACCCACCTTGGGCGGCCTGGCTGGCTGGTCTTGGCTGGGTGATTTCCCGAGGACTTGTGGTGCCTGGTGCTCTCTGAAGTAGTTGGTCATGCGGCACTGAGGGGTTTGTAACCAGGAGGGACAGTGGGTTCTTGATCTCATGACTGTTGGGAGTAAGGGGTTGGTCATTGCTATGTGACAGGCGAGCAGATGGACATAGAGTGATTCCTGGTCACGGCACTTCAGCGGGGGTCTGAACCTGGGGTGCGAGGATGCCCTTTAGGGCTCTGGGAGACTGTGGCCAGTTCTGCAAAGATGCATTTGAGTGTTTTCCTGGGGAGAGGATGCTGTGGTGTTTTTCTGAATCTCGATGGGGCTTTTGACTCCTAAGTGGTCAGAGTGTGTGTAGAGATCAAGCCAGTGATCTGCCTGGACTGGAGCCCATGCCAGACTTTCCTGGTGGGGCAGGTTCCCGGGCTCTGAGCAGGTGCAGTCTCAGGTTTTCTCTGCCCCTGGCAGGCCAGGGCTCCAGATGCACTGTCCCCTGGGAGGAGGGTGGTAAGTGGGAGGATGGCTCCTTTGGCGACAGCTCCTTAACCAGCTCCCCCAGCTACCTGTTCGCGGCCCCCTACTACTACGGCTTTTACAACAACCGGCTGCAGGCATACTGCAAGCAGAACCTGGAGATGAACGTGACGGTGCAGAATGTGCTGCAGGTAGTACACCTGGTGCCTGCTGGCCTCCCTGCACCTGGACAGGTGGGTGAGGGGTGGGGCAACACCTCAACGAACCTGCCATTCCAGATCCTGGAGGCGGCTGACAAGACGCAGGCGCTGGACATGAAACGGCACTGCCTGCACATCATCGTGCACCAGTTCACTAAGGTCAGGCCCTGCTAGTTCAGCACCCGCTGCTCACCCCTCATCTTCACGACCCACTCTCCATGGCAGCAGCCGTGGCCAGGTGGGGGGAGGGTGCCTGGAATCTTGCCATCCTCTGCAGCAGTAGGCCCTGGGGGTAACCAAGCAGAGCCACCCACCCTCTGGCCACTACTCACCCCATCTTTGGAGCCCACCCAGCCCTCACATGAATCCAGTTCCATCCTGTTCTGGCCTTCTGGTCAACTCCCACAGGTCTCCAAGCTGCCTACGCTGCGCTCACTGAGCCAACAGCTACTGCTCGACATCATAGACTCCCTGGCCTCCCACATCTCCGACAAGCAGTGTGCAGAGCTGGGTGCCGACATATGAGGGCCCAGGCGGTGCCAGCCCACAGATGGAGAATGACCATGCCTGCCCTGCCCCCTGCAAAAACTGTGTTGGCAATCCTCAGGCCTGTGACAGTGGTCAGACCTGCTGGCCAAAAGACGGGGTGCCCAGAACCTCAGAAGAGAGCTGAGGGGACATGGGGGGCTCCAAATGCCCTGCTTCACAAATGACAGGTCTCGCGGGAAGTGGATGGTGAAGCAGGCCCCCCAGGTGGCATCCTCTCCTCGGATGGAGGCGTGGGTGGGAAGGACGCTTCCTATCAGTGATGATACGAAGAGGCAGGATTCCTGGCCAGGGTCCAGCAGTGGGGAGAGCCCATCAGGGAGCTGATTTTGGGGTCCCCATCTGACAGGGACCCAGCATGGTTGTGGAAATGGCTACAGTCATGTTGCAAAGGTCTCCCCAGTGTGGGGGTCACACAGGCCCCCCTCACTCTCACCAAGGTTGGTATAAGGGGTCCCTGGAGCTTATGCGTGGGCACCTGTGATGGGCAGATGGATCTGATTCAAGATGAATTTTGGTGTGAAAGGCCCTGGGGCCAGTTCCTAGCCCACAGGGCCAACCACTCTGGACTGGGTCTGGAGTCCAGAGGGACTTCAGGACCCCACATATCTGTGTGGCCATCCTTCTGGGCTGTGCCAAGAAGTCAGTAAAGATGCCCCCAGTCCCTGTGTCTCCCTAAGTATTCTGTCATAGACATGCCTCCATTGAAGCCACAGCAGTGCTACCTGCTACACACACCTTGCTGGTGTGGTCCCCACCGGTGGGCTCTGGCCTTGGCCTTTGGCCCTCCCACAGCTGTGGATTGGCCATGTGGCCCAATTGCTTGGCATTGGTCAGTCTTGCCCTGGTTCTCTGTCAGCAACTTCTCATCCCCACCTGAGGCAACATGGAGGAAGGGGCTGTGGCAGGAATCCAGACTGGCTTCTCCCTCCTGAGCCTAAGCCTGGGGTGCCTGCACCTCCATATGCTGCACCACAGGCTCCTGCATGGGCTGGAAATGCATCCTTTCCCGTCCCCCCCACAGAAGGCCCTGTGATTCCACCCCAATGCGGAAGGCACCGTTCAGCCTCCTTTCTGGGAACAATCCCGGGGACCCTCTGCCCCAGCTTCCAGGAAGCCACTTGGGGGGAAACGATCTTTCTTCCCTGCCTCAGGGCTCACTTCCGCTGGCTGTGCCTCGTGCAAACGCAGCACCTGCCACTCAGCCCTTGCTGAAGAGCCTGGATGTAGGCGGATGGGGAGCCGCTGTGGCAGGTGAGCACCCTTAGGCAAGGGAGCCCATCCATAAAGAACGAGCTTGGGGACCTTGGGGGACAATCTGCAAATCCTGCTCTGCAGTGGACAACGGGGGACCCTTGTAACTGGTCACTTGACTGTCTTTTCTAGACATGCTGTCAATAAATGAAGCCACATAAAAAGCCAATTTCATAACACGGTGTGGCCATTCACAGGACTAGAAAGCATTCAGCTGTGCTCTTGGGGCGGCTGTGGCCAAGGCCCAGCAGGGAGATACCACCTGTGCGGGTAAAGTCGCCCCATGTACCGAGCTGTTTGCTATGATTACAGATGCAGGGAAGTCTTCTAGATTCCAGTTAAGTTGAATTAAAATGGGGACACAAATTGAGGCCAGGACTGCTGCTGTGAGCTTCCCCCATTTCTCTAGACCTCCAGGGACCAGAAATGTTGAGCCTTACTACTTGCCAAGCATAGCAGCCCCAGGAGGTCAGAAATTACAATTTTTGTCCTGGTTTTCAGATGAGATAGGCCATCTGAGTGGGGGCTGGCCTTCAGGCCAGGACTCAGGCTGGAAGCCTGTTGGGTCCTGAAAAGGAACTTTCTGGCTTGGGTTTTAGGAGTCTTTTCCAAGGAACCAGCTTGTGTTGGCACCTGTTTCAGGTGCCAAAGGAAGGGTGCCTAGTGCTGTCCCAGGCTCCTGACCCTAAGAGAACCCGTGGGGCATGGAGCTGCATGGGGAGGAGTAGGCAAGAGCTGGACTCTCTTATCTGCAGCCCAGAGCTTGGACTCCAGGGTCTGAGCCTTCTGGGGGCTGCAGCTATTGACTGGGGGAACAAGCCTGGCAGTGAGGGAAGGGCCCCAGCCCTCAGCTGAACCAGATATAGGGCCTCCTAGAACCCACTTTATTATGGCATCTGGTAGGTCTGGTGGATGCAGCTCAAAGCAGGTCCCTTTCCAGGTGAATTCTGAGGAAGTGGCTGGAGCCCTGACAGGCAGCCCCCCGTCAGCCGTGGGTCTAGTGGCCCCTCACTCAGGTCATGCTGCTGCTCAGCTGCATGGCAAAGTCCTGCACATGTTCCTTCAGAGTCTGGCGGGCATCTGCCTGTGCCCGCTTCTCCCGCGCCCTCTCCTGCTGTAGCTTGGTTAGCCGCAGCCGCAGTCGCTGCTCCCGTCGCTTGCAGGCCTGCAGCTGGCGCTGGGCCTTGTCCAGGGCATCGAGTGCAGCCTCAGCCCTCCGCTTCCAGAGCAGGGCACTGCCCACCTGGTAGCTGTGCTCATTCTGGATGTAGGCTCCAGCGGGTGGTGGGAGGCGCAGCATGTAGGCTGAGGGTGAGACAGGCCTCGGCTCGAGAGGGGACGGCTGTCGCTCTGGCTCCCGCTCCGGTGAGGGCTGGGCGCTGCAGCCTGCTTCATCTGCTTGGGCACCCAGAGGCCCCAGGAGGTCTGAGAAGGGACTGCTGAGGCCAGGCTCCAGTCTCCCAGTAGGGGAGGCTGGCAAAGCAGCAGGTGCCGAGGCCTCTTCCACAGGAAAGCAGGTGACCTCAGCAGGTGGAGGTGGAGAAAAAGGAGTTGTGGGTCCTCGGCCCTCAGAGCAGCTGTGGGGAGAGAGACTGACAGGTCAGGCTAAGGGCTTGCCAGACCCCACTTCACCAGCCCCCCTGAACAGGAGCATCAGCCCTCTCCATAGGCTCAGGACCCTGCCCATCACTGCTGCTGGTAGACACTCTAAAGCCCAGTCCCTCAAAATTGGGGTGAGTGGGGCAACCCCCACCCATAGCACATACCGCTTCCTGCATCGCCGGAGCCGGCTGACATCGGGGGGACCAGGTGGGTAACTGTGCCCCTTGGTCTTGGTTGTCCGGCGCAACTTGGTGAAAGACTCAAATATCGTGGGAACTGCCCCCTCCTTCAGCCTGTGATACCCACTGTTGGGGAAAGCAACCTGGATGAGATGGAGAATGAGCACTGCCACCCCCAGCTGACCTGCAGGGGATCAGAGTGAGCATGCCCTCCAGCACCCTGCAGCAGGCTCTCCAGTGCTAGCAAAGTTAGTTTGGAGAATGCCGAGTTGGGCAGAGTTACACCAATCTCTTCCCTGCAGGATCCCTCCAAGTTAAGGTGTGTGGAAAGGCTCCACCAGAACTGGGTTGACCAGCCAAAATGAATTACAGTGGGGCCTTGACTTACGAGTTTAATTCGTTCCGAGACCGAGCTCGTTAAGGAGCTTGTTAACTCAAATTACTCTATCAACTCGATGCAAAAAATCAGCCAAGAGACAGCTGGTATCTCAAAAAACTTGTTAGTCGGGACACTCGTAAGTCAAGGCCCCACTGTATTTCATTTGTGGACCTGGTGGGAGGACTGGGGTGCTAAGGAACTCCTGCTGGAAAAGCTAATGTTTTCCTCTTGTGTCACTGGCACAGCCATCCCCAGGGGGTGGGTCTTACTGTCCTCATCTGCTGGAAGAGCAAACTGAGGTACAGAGCTGGGAAGAGACAGCGATCCCCAAAACCAGGTCTGCCTGTTTTCGTGCCAGGTGATTCAGGAATCTCCCCATCGGGCCCTGCAGATACCCCAATGCTGGCTGGCAAGGAGGCTCACCTGATTCCCACCAGCTCAAAGCAGTTCTCCTCGAAGTGTTTGGAGCAGAAGTAGATGTACTCGGATGCTGGGTCCCATAGGCCCTGGCCGCTGGGGTCCAGCCTCTGGCAATTGGCCAGCCACAAGCCTCGCCTTGGGTTGTCCTTTTTGGGAAGTCTGTGGAGCCACAAACCTGTGAGCAGCAGGCTTCCTGAAGCCCTGGGGCTATGCTGCCTACGTTCCCAAGATGGGAAGAGCTGGCCCTGCACATGCTGCCAGGAGACCGCCCTTCAACCCTAACAGGGAAGCACCGTCCACCAGAGCACAGACGCGGAATCTGAGGCCTCAAAAAGAGGCACAATGCGCTCAGCGTCATCTAGTAGGTAAGAGTCGCAGAGCAGAGAATTCAAGGGTGGAGGAGGTGCGTCCTTCCTTTCCCGTCCGGACTCAATTCCTCCTAGATCGCCCGCTTCACCCCTTCCCACCCACCCGCAAGTTCAAGCTTCGCCCCAAACAGAGAACGCGCATGTGCAAGTGCGGCTTCGCGCCAGCAGAAAGGGCACATGCGCACGTCAACCGGCGTGAGCCAGCACGCACGCGCGCTGACCTGTGGAAGGAGATGCCGCGATTGCGCGTCTCGCGCGTATCCCGAGTGCAGCAGCCGGCGGCGGAGCAGTGACGCGGCATCTGGGGAAGAGGCGGGAGCTTGGTCGCGGGTGGCTGTCCGGCCCGTAGGGGCCTCGAGCCCCCAGCCGCCGCTCCGGTTCAGGCGGCCCTGTCTTGCCGAGTCTCCCACTGCCCGATCTCGCCCGAGCCCCTTCCCAGCCCTTTCTCCGGGCTCCCGTCAGCGGCACTCACGGTCTCGCCATTGCTGAGCCGCCGGAGTCTCGCGAGATGGCGGAAGTTGGTACCATAGAGACTGGGAAATACGGAACGCTCGCCCGAGGGGCGGGTCTGATCCCGGAAGCGGTGGGAGCGTGGGGTCGCAACTGTGAACGATTCGTTCTAGGTTCCCCGTACGCCTTCGTCATCGCAAAGTCGGCCCCTCGCCTTTGCTCTTTTGTGCCTATTGGCTGTCGACCGGTAGTGCCCTGGGGCCGGACCATGCATTCGCGGAGGCCCCGATTGCAAGAGAAACTTCAACGAAAATGAGCCTGGACTCGAGTTCAAACCTGACAAAAACCAGTGCTCACTTCTGGAGAGGTGCCTCTAATTGGAAGGGCGGGCAGTGGGCAGTGATTGCGTTTTGGGAAATGTGATGGGCAGAGGCTCTGTGCTAGCGACTTCCGTCAGGGCCCTGAAAGGGAAAAGCTAAGGGCCTTCCTGGAAAGGGAGGTCAGAAATTGGGTTTGTGCTGCTTGGGGCTGCCTCCCTGGCCCCTCCCACAAGACGGTAAAAACAGCCACTCTGCAGCTCAGAAAAAAACGGGTTACTATTCCATTTTCTAAAGAACATGAAGTATGGAACGAAGGATTTAAGAATGTTTAAATTTAAAATAATTGAAGCACTTTTTCTTCATTTCCTCAGCTGTGCTTTTTGAAGCCCTTTCTGGGAGTAACATGGTAATTAAACGTGCATAGTTTTTCAGTTTGAAAGGAAATGCTTTCCACTTGGAAAAAGGCAGAAAAAGGCAGGTATCTGGATGGGGAATTTTGTCAAAGTGCAGCACAAGGGACAGATGATGCTTCAATACAGAAACTTTAATAGGTAAACATATTGTAATGTTACAGTGTGTGGGGGGGGGATACAAAGGGATAGGTGCCAGCACAACTCTCCCATTCAGTATTCTTCCCCTTCTTCAGCCTCAGCTTCCACGGAATCCACGCCCACCTCTTCATAATCTTTCTCCAGAGCTGCCAGGTCCTCCCGGGCCTCGGAGAACTCCCCTTCCTCCATGCCCTCCCCCACATACCAGTGCACAAAGGCTCGCTTTGCATACATGAGATCGAACTTATGGTCCAGGCGGGCCCAGGCCTCGGCGATGGCGGTGGTGTTGCTCAGCATGCACACAGCCCGCTGCACCTTGGCCAGGTCTCCTCCAGGGACGACGGTGGGGGGCTGGTAGTTGATGCCCACCTGCCAGAGAAGGAGAAAATAGAGTGAAATTTGTATTGTGGCCTCAGAAATGGTAGCTTGTTTTTCAAAACTGGAGCTGTGGGCCCAGGTTAAATGAAGCCCTGTAGAAACTGGTACATTAGTTTTTGGCAATATCTGTCAACAGTTAATATCCTTTAACTGTTTACTTCTTTATAAATTTCTTTTGACTGGTGTTAGAGGCAGGGCGCAAGAGAGAAACATTAATTTATTGTTCCACTTATCTATGTATTTCATTGACTGGGGATTGAACCTACAACCTTGGCATATAGGGACTCTGCTCTAACCTACTTAGCTATCTGGCCAGGGCTAATCGTATACTTTCACTGTTTGGATTTACTCACACAAGAACACAAAGCTACATGTATAAAGACTTCTCTGTATTTAATTTAAAGCACTGTTTGTAATGGCAAAATTGGAAACAAATGTCCATCATTTGTTACACGCCCATGTAGTAAAACACTATATATGATTATGAAAAAGAATGATAAATCTGTCCTGGCATATAAATATATCCAAGGTATATCCAAGGTATATTGTATTGTATATTTGGTAAAAAGAAAAGCAAGTTGAATGCTTAGAAATACCTATAGAGTAATAAATAGACTAGCAGGGGACCTCAAACTGCGGCCCGCCGAAAACATTTATCCGGCCCGCCGGGTGTTTTTGCCGCCGCTGTGTGCATAGGAATTTGTTCTTAGTTTTTTTTTAAACTATAGTCCGGCCCTCCAACGGTCTGAGGGACAGTGAACTGGCCGCCTGTTTAAAAAGTTTGAGGACCCCTGGACTAGAGGTTTGGACAAGTTAGGGAACATAATGCTGGAGGAAGACAAATGCCTGGGAATGTGCTGAGGTGGTCACCTATCTCTGCCCTGGTGAGTAGATAGTAGTTAGCGGCAGCCAGGCACACCGTTCTCTGTAAGAGTTGGGGAGGGCAGGGTAAAGGGCACAGGGGGTTCTGACCCTGATCAAGGGGCCCCATGGCTCTAAGGCTAGGGCCAATCGGCCCCTCCTAGTGGGAGTGCTGCCAGCTTCCGGTTCTCTCTGGCCACCTGTGTGCAGCAAGTTGAGTCCGTCACCTACGTGAAAAGAATGTGCATTCTTTGCCCATGTTGCTAGGCTCTTCCTGTGAACCTCCCCCATATAGCAAGAGGCATAATACACATTGAATATGCACAGAACATTGCTGTAAGGACAAAGCCCTGGGGAAGGAGAAGACAACTTTAGTCTTTCAGCATTCTTGTTTTAATATTTTCCCACATATGTGTGTTTCTATAATTAAAACTAAACATATTTAAACATGGATGATTCCTTGAAAACACCATATCCCTAAACAAATGGTTGTTAAAGAACATGGGAATTCACATGGTCCATCTGAGGTTGGACTGTCTTCCCTGGGTACAGAAGAAGCTTTGACTTCCTGCACCTCCTCACAGACCAGCCTCCCTACTGGTTCACAGGAGCCAGAGACTCAGCTAGGAGATGAACGTGGGCACAGGGCACAGCAACTCCCACAATGCCTCCCAGCTGAGGCTGGCTTAGATGTCCTTACTTTCCAAAGGACACAGTGACTGAAAGAAACTTTCCTCCACTCAAGAACTTGGAATGCAAGGTTTCAACATATACCTAAAACCTCTACGGTCTGCAAACCTATTTAAGACTTAATGATTTTTTTTTTGCATGAATCACTTAAAATTTACTTCCTCAAAGACAATCTGTGTCAGTGTCTTAAGTGGGGCTGACAGAGGGCTAGATACCTTCAATAATGTGGGTAGTCAGTGGCAAGTTACAACTATTCCAAATGGGAACAAGATGACATATATTTCTGCTACTTATGATTTTCAGTCTGGCATGACCCTGGACCTTGCAATTCCCAAAATGAGGGCTTACAAATGTGGGGGTCTACAGCTTTACCTAATGCAGAAACCAATTGTGAATGAGGACTTAAATACCTACATTTCTATTACAAAAATTTTACTATTAAAATTTTTTTTAATCATTTCAAGGTCAACCTACATTTCCCATACTAAATCCACCATCCTAATGGGAACAACGATCCTTCAGAAATTTTCCTGTTCTGTTAAAAAGGTACACTAATTGATGACCAAGAGCCCAGCGGCCATGGAACGGGGTATTCTCCACAAGGGCAGCCTCCTATCGCAGGGTCTGCTGCATGCTGAAAGGTAAACCCACTCGTTACCACCCAGTCCTACCTTAAATCCCGTTGGGCACCAATCCACAAACTGGATGGTGCGCTTGGTCTTGATGGTGGCAATGGCCGCGTTGACATCTTTCGGGACCACGTCCCCCCGGTACAACATGCAGCAGGCCATGTACTTGCCATGGCGAGGGTCACACTTGACCATCTGGTTGGCAGGCTCAAAGCAGGCGTTGGTGATCTCAGCCACGGACAGCTGCTCATGGTAGGCCTTCTCAGCTGAGATGACTGGGGCGTAGGTGGCCAGGGGGAAGTGGATGCGGGGGTACGGGACCAGGTTGGTCTGGAATTCCGTCAAGTCCACGTTCAGGGCCCCATCAAAGCGCAGGGAGGCCGTGATGGAGGACACGATCTGCCCAATCAGACGATTGAGGTTGGTGTACGTGGGCCGCTCAATGTCCAGGTTGCGCCGACATATGTCATAGATGGCTTCGTTGTCCACCATGAAGGCACAGTCGGAATGCTCCAGGGTCGTGTGGGTGGTCAGGATGGAGTTGTAGGGCTCCACCACGGCCGTGGACACCTGGGGGGCTGGGTAAATGGCAAACTCTAGCTTGGACTTCTTGCCGTAGTCAACCGAGAGCCGTTCCATAAGCAGAGATGCAAACCCAGAGCCGGTGCCGCCCCCGAAGCTGTGGAAGATGAGGAAGCCCTGCAGCCCCGTGCACAGATCCGCCTGAGAGAAAGCAGAGACCGTGAGCAATGCCTTTCGAAGCCACACCGCCAACCTCCCACAAGCCTAGGTCACTTCTGACTCCACAAGGTTACATGGATCCCAGTCACCCCAGGTCACATGCATTCCACGGAAGGGGAGGCAAAGCAGACACAGAGATGTACGGATGGAGGCACTGCAGCCACACCAGGAAGGAGGACCACGGGTTCATGATTCTGCCTTGGGTTTTGCCAAAACGACCCTGGAAGGCTTCCCAGCACCTTCTTACCAACTTGCGGATCCGGTCCAGGACCAGGTCAACAATCTCCTTGCCGATGGTGTAATGGCCTCTGGCGTAATTATTGGCTGCGTCTTCCTTCCCGGTGATCAGTTGCTCAGGGTGGAAGAGCTGCCTGTAGGTCCCTGTGCGCACTTCATCTACAAAGAGGACACATGTGCCATGGCCTTTAAGGATGATTGTTAACTCACCAGCATGGACAGATGTGGGGACCGTTCAATTCTACCAAGCACGTGCTGTTCCTGGTAGGTCAACAGCATCAGTGTATCACAGGGAGGCCCTACGTAATACACAGAGCACACCTGCAATCCATGGCTCTAGGGAGGTAAACTCAACTCACGGCACAAATACCAGCTTGACTAGTTCCCAAAGAAGAGAGCAGAGCGCTCACCCCTGCACACAAGACTACATGTGCATATTTCTTTCACACCAAATGGTATAATTTTAAAAATGGTTCATACTGGACAGTCACTAGGTCCGTGTGCTTTTTGCCAGGCAGTCCTATCGGGGCACCTGTGTGGCCTGGTCTCAGACTTTAGGGTGACATCTGTCATCTCTGGGTGACCACTGACAGGTCTGCCTTTGCAGCTCTCCTCAGGCTTCTAATCTGGAGGGACCCAATGAATGTTCTCTACTTCCCTTTCTATGTCTGAGACGCAGGTTAAGACTCTTGTGCACCAGCTGAGAGAGTGCACAGCATTAAGGAAGAATGAGTGCCGAGTGCCCTGCAGGCAGGATCTACAGCTGCCTGGGCTGAGGCATCACGAACGAATGAATCTGTGATAAGCCCAGCTTACTCCTGGCAAAGCCTTTCCTGTATGTTAGGTTTTTCTAAATCAGGAGCCCAAGCCCCACACTTCAAGCACAAACCTTTCAGTTTCTCGCCTAACATGGTCACGGCTTCCCTGTGTGTCCATCCATCCTTTCTGCAGAGGAATTCCAAGGAGAACCCTTGGGGATTAACTAGGCTCTCTCAGCCGCCCTGCTTGCCCGAGTACCTACCAACCACGGTGGGCTCCAGGTCCACAAACACTGCTCTGGGCACATGCTTGCCAGCCCCAGTCTCGCTGAAGAACGTGTTGAACGAGTCGTCCCCACCGCCAATGGTTTTGTCACTCGGCATTTGCCCGTCAGGCTGAATGCCATGTTCAAGGCAGTATAATTCCCAGCAGGCATTGCCGATCTGGACACCGGCCTGTCCCACGTGGATAGAAATGCACTCGCGCTGGGAAACAGAACATAAATGTGAGACCCGTTCGTTTTCCAGACAATTGTCACTGTATGGCATGAAAATATATACGCGTTTCAATGTCTAAGGCTTTCTCAAATGTTATATTCTCCGAGGTTTGTGTGATCCACTTATCCCTGTGAAAACTGAGGTGCTAAACCACTTAGCTAAGTGCTAAAGTTAGTCCCAGAACCTACTTGTCAAAATTAATGCTATTAAATCTCTACCCTGTGTACTGGGACAAAATGGAAAGTACATATAAAGTCCTTGTGCACACACCGAAATACAGCTGTATTGAGAAAAAGCACTTGTGTATTTGAGTTGCCAACTGTAAACTAGCTGCTTTTTTCACGGCCTGCTGTTTGTATTGGAAAGAAATAACAAACTGGCTGTTCAGACTTGGATATCTGTGATTTATGTGACCGTCTTGCCTGAAAGTAATAAACATTTTTACAGTCCTTAGTTTTAATTTCTAATGGGACAAGTGCAGGGAGGTTCCGAGGCCAGGAAGTTTGGGAATCGCCCTCCAGTCTTCAGGAACTCGGCGCTGTGGTTTGTCCTCTCAGAGACCGAGGAGTCCAGGCCCCCCCACAACCCAGCTGCCGCCCCGGCTCTTTAAGGCAGTTTCCGGGGATCTACCCGCTCCTCGCCGACCCCCCTCCCACGCTGGCTGGAGGTCACCGCCGCCCTCTGGGCGCACAAACTCAGAATGAGCCCGCGTCCTCGTCCTCCTGTGCCGTCCAGGGGCCTCCGGGCCTCGTGGTGCCTCTGGGCTGGCTCTTCGCTGGCCTCCCAGGCCCCTCTCCCCGCCTGGGCCCGCTCCCGCCGCACCCCCGGCTCTCTCCGCGGGCCGCGGCCTCACGTGGCGGGCTTCGTCCACCCTCCCGCCTGGGAGCCTGCCTGTCCCCAGGGTCCTTCCAATGTGCGCCGGGCCTACGACGCCCCCGCCCAGCCCCAGGGCCTCACCATGGTGAGCTCTGCCGCTGCCGGACTCCGCTCCTCGACAGAAAAACGGTACCACAGCCCCCGCGCGCCCAACGGCCACCACCGCACGGCGCACGCTGCCCCTTATAGGCCCGCCAAGGCCCAGGCGGCCATTGGTCCGGGGCGCCTCAGGCGGGCCCAGGCCTAGGACCCAGCTTCTCATTGGCTGTCGCTCGAACTCCTGGAGTGTGGCACTTTCTGATTGGATGCGGGTTTGGCGGGAAGGCTGTGGGGGCGAGGAAGGCCGAGCGCGGTCGGGTGTTCGGGAGCCTTCTCCAACTTGAGGTTGGAGCCGCTGGGGCGCCCGCCTGGCCGGGGCACCGGATGTGACCCTGCACGGGAGCACCCGGCGGCATGCGAACGACTTGATGTCCCCCTGTGCGGTCAGCCCCTTGCCGGACACCTCAGGCCTTTGCCTCCCTGTTTCTTAGGCCTTTTGCAAACACCGCCACCTCCCAGAGGTATGGCCGACATCCACCCTAGGTCTGCACCCTCTCACTTTCCACCCCTTTCTGGTGCAGAAAGGCCTGTTCCGGCCAGCACCCTGAAATTGGGCGGGATTTTAATGAGGAATGGGTGTCCTGGGACAAGGGGGTGGGGCGGTGCCCATTGGGAGGACTTTGGAACAATGACTTGATTCTCCCATTCCGTAAAGATCGCCTAACCTCTCTTTAGGATCCAGTGTGTGGGGTTTTTTTTACTTCTGGGAAAAGTGGGGGCAGAGGGACCCAGGCTCATCGCCATAACGCAGCACTCTGTTCTGGCGCCAGCCTCACCCTTCACTTCTCCGTGAAGGAGCGTGGGGAGCCGGCCCCTGACATGGGACACGGCAGGTCAAGGAATTGGGCCGTTCCTGTAGGACTTGGGGAGCCTCCGAATCGTGCCATCAGGCCTGCCCTGGGGAGGGTGGCATCGGCAATAGGAGGAAGGAGGTGGAGGAGGGTCAGAGAACCAGGGAAACCAGGAGAAACCCGCCCTGCCTTTTCTCCCCATGAGAGGGAATCTTTCTGTCTCGTTTAGCTCGGGGCCGCCATGACAAAGTACACAGACTGCCGGCCGGCGCGGTCAGCGGTTGAAGGTCGACCTATGAACCAGGAGGTCACGGTTCGATTCTGGGGGGTTGCGGGCTCGATCCTCAGTGTGGGGCGTGCAGGAGGCAGCGGATCAGTGATTCTCATTGATGGTTCTGTCTCTCCCTCTCCCTTTTCCCCTGAAATGAATACAAATATATTTAAAAATAAAACCCGAACTCCTTTCTTTAAACAAACAAACAAACAAAAACCAAAACAAAATACCACAGACTGAGTGGCGTAAACAACAGGAATTATTTTCTCACAGTCCTGGATGCTGGAAGTCCCAGATCAAGGTCGGGGAGCATTGGGAGGGCTTGCTTTCTGGCTGGCAGTGTCTTACTGTGTCTTCACATGAGAGGACAGGGAAGAAAACAAGCTTTCTGATGCCTCTTCTTTTTTTAAAAAAAATATATTTTTATTTATTGATTTCAGAGAGGAAGGGAGAGGGAGAGATAGAAACATCAATGATGAGAGGGAATCATGGATCGGGCTGCCTCCTGCATGTCCCACACTGGGGATCAAGCCTGCAACCCGGGCCTGTGCCCTTGGCCAGAATCAAACCCAGGACCCTTCAGTCTGCAGGCTGAAGCTCTAACCACTGAGCAAAACCAGCTAGGGCCTGATGTCTCTTCTTATAAGGACACTAATCCTATTGGATCATAGCCCCACCATTACAACCTCATTTAACCTTAATTACCTCCTATCTCCAAATACGGTCACATTGGGGGTCAGGGCTTTTAAGATACGAATTGTGGGGAGGGTCATAATTCAAGATGTAGCACTCACTTTACTCAGGACGTCAAGCACACCATGCACACAACTGAATTGTAGCCTGTATCAGGTTGTGTTTTTAAGTACCATTTATTTTTCTGATTATGAAAATAACACATACTTAGAGTAGAAAGTGTGGAAATGCAAGAACATTAAAAACATTAAAATTTATAAACCTTCAGGCCTCCAGTTTTTAGTATATCCATGTAATTATGCAACTATTACCATAATTTCAGAATATTAAAAATATGTTTTTAAAATTTTTTAGAGAGGAAGGGAGAGAGGGAAACATCAATCCATTGCCTCCTGCACACACCCAACCCTGTATTGAACCCATAACTTTGGTATGTGCCTTAACCGGGAATTGAACCTGGGAACTTTTTGGTATACAGGACGATGCTCCAACCAATTGAGCCACACCGGACAGGGCAATTTTAGAACATTTTGTCATCCCAAATTTCACTCTTTTTTATTGCCTTTGTATGGATATACCACGTTTTATTTACCCATTCTTCAGTTGGTGAGCATTTGCCCTTTGCAGATATTAATAATGCTGCTGTGAACATTTGTGTACAAGTTTTTGTGTGGACATATGTTTTCATTTCTCTAGGACTGGATTTGCTGGGTCATATGGTAACTCCATGTTTAACCTTTTGCAGAACTGATTTTTTTTATCCTGATTTTCTTTCTTTTTTTTAAAATATATTTTATTAATTTTTTACAGAGAGGAAGGGAGAGAGATAGAGAGTCAGAAACATCGATCAGCTGCCTCCTGCACACCTCCCACTGGGGATGTGCCCGCAACCAAGGTACATGCCCTTGACCGGAATCGAACCTGGGACCTTTCAGTCCGCAGGCCGACGCTCTATCCACTGAGCCAAACCGGTTTCGGCTTATCCTGATTTTCTTACTTAATATGAATCTTGTGCATTTTCACAAATTGCTCACTGTACTTTGAGCACTTGGCTTTCCATGTTTGCAAAGTTCCAAATCTTAGAAACCAATCCCCTCTTATTTGGCATTTAAGTTATTTCCAATTTTCGTGATTATAAATAGCATTACTTCTGTAGAGCCGATTAGTTAGACCACCGGATCAAAGGACACAGGCAGTTAAGGCTCTCAGTGCCTATTGATAAATTGCCTTCCCAAAACGTTGTGACAGTCTGCATCATGGCAAGTTGAGTTTGGGAATGCCAGTTGCACACCGCCTTCTATTTTCATTGTCTCCCATGGTAAGTCCCCAGAGCAGAGACTTGTTTGGGCAACTTTGGCCCCATGCCCAGCTCAGTGCGCGGCACATAGTACAACTTCGCGTCACAGGAATGAGGGAGAACAACGGAAGGCCCCCGTTCGTGCAGTGGTTGGGGATGGAAAGGAGGATACAGGTGTCTTGAGTCATCGTGAAGGTCGGCTCCATGAGACTTACCACCTGGTTGACATGGTGACTCAGTGCAGACTCAAGTGGTAAGAACACATTGTGAGGCCGCACTCCACAGTCATTTAGGGGCCGACGCTGGTAGGGACGGTCTCCAGACTGCCAGTAACTCTTTTTTGTACTCCACTCTGCCGGCATCAGACCTTATGCAAAGCCCTGGAAGAATCGCCTTCACTGAGCTAGCGAGGGCCTCAAACTCTCTGTGCACCTGGATACCCTGAGGAGAAACCAAGGATACTGCGGGCTCTGGGCAGGACCCTGGGAGGGGGCAGTGCAGCTGGGGCAGTGGGCACCATGGGCAGCACCTCGGTGTCCCCTCTGCAAAATGGGGTGCTGGGTGTGGGCACTCAGGGGAGGTACAGTCACATGGGCCCCCACACCGCCCCCCATGGCGAGGCTCCTCCAGAGAGAGGAGCTGCCAGCTCTCGGCCAGCCAGAAGGGCAATCCGGGGAAACTGAGGCCCAGGCTGCTGCTGGAGCCTAAGAAACTTCTTGCTCCTGCCCCCAAGGGTACCCCACACCTCCACATGTGCTGTCCAGCCTGCTCAAATGGTAAGAACACATTGTGAGGCTGCACTCCACAGTCATTTAGGGGCAGACGCTGATAGGGACGGTCTCCAGACTGCCAGTAACTCTTTTTTGTACTCCACTCTGCCGGCATCAGTCTTTATGCAAAGCCCTGGAAGAATCGCCGTCACTGAGCTAGCGAGGTCCTCAAACTCTCTGTGCACCTGGATACCCTGAGGAGAAACCAAGGATCACTTTCTGAGAACTTGACTTTTTTACTCACACACACGAGGTCTTGAAGAAGCTCCTTAGGACAGCTTCTTCCCTATGGATGACAGTGGTATCACCCCCCAAACTGTTAAAATCAAGAAGAGAAGGGGCTCCAGGGAGGCTTCTAGGGACCTGCTCTGTTTGTTGAGCTGGGGGCTGATTATTAGACATACGCTGTTTGTGAAAATTCACTGAGCTCTGCCCTTAATCTATGTGTACTTTTCAGCATAAATGTTGCTTGTAGATAAAAAAAAATGAAAAACAGGGGCCGGGGAAAAGAGAGGGTCTGTCATCTCATTCTGTTTTCACAGTGATCCTGGTTGATAGATATTAGCCCCATTGCACATAAAGATGAGACTGAGTTCTGGGGCAGGTTTTATGAGAACTGTAAGGATTCAGAAGTATTTCCCTTAAAGCTGAGGATAAAATCTGAGTCAGATTAAACTAATGGTAACAGTTAAGGAATAGGAAAACAGAACATTGCACCTAGATTAGTGTTGGTCTCTAATTCAGGATCCAAGATCCCATATGATGGGCTCAGGACTTGGTTCCAGGCCTGTCTGATGGCAAATCCTGTTCTATTTTTATTATATAAAAGCTTCTGAAAATAAACATGCATTGCTTTAAATAAGCATGTACTTTGGCAGGGCAATTTTATATATCTTTCTATTTTTTAGAGTGATAGAGTCCAGTGCTGACGGGAATTCTCAGAGTAGAGGGAACATGGTCATGGCAAGCTCTTTTCTGGCTTTTGAGCCGAAGAGACCAGGCATTTAGGGGCAGAAGGAAAGAATAAGGATGTTCAAACCAGTTGTCCCAAGCCTGAAGGACTGAAACTGTAAAAACATATCTCTGGAAAGACTTTGATTCAAGTCTGGGCTTAAATAAATCAGGGTGGAATAAGCAGTGATTTGTGACGACTTTTAATAATTCATATTTGGGGATTCTCTCCTTAATGTTAATTGCCTTAGAAAAGAGTGACATTTGTTTTTATATTAAAAAAGGCAAAATTGAATGAAAACGGGTCCCGATTTCCCTCACAGCCACACAAATGAGTCTTCCAGCACCATGATTTGCCTGCAGGCAGTACAAGGAAGGTGGGGGAGGGGGCCGCCTTGCAGGTGCTGAACCCGCAAATCCAAATATTAGTGAGCAGTAAGCATTGTGCCTCTTGAGCCACTTACGCTCTCTTACCCCATGAAGAGCCCAGGCAGGGGTCGGAGGGGAGGCCACAGCAGTACCTGCAGTCAGGCCTGGGAGTGGAGCCAGAGTGGCATTATGATCTACTTTCAGGCCTGGTGTGGGATTGAGACTCAGCCACACCATGTATCCGGGCAGGGCCTCTATTTCTCTAGGCCCCACTTTCTTCCTCTAACTATACCTCAGGGCTGTGGGAGGCTCAGAGGTGAGGTTTATGAAAAGTTCTTACAGAGAAATCCAGCAGTTCCAGGGCAGACACTGGATTATCCCGGACAGACTTGAGGACACCCAGGCAGCCTTCACTTCGCATGGGATTCCTGGACATCTAAGAAATACACACAAAACTGAGAAAAGCTGACCTGGGAGGCCGGGAGAGCACCCCAAAAGGGAAGATTGGGGGTTCCGTGTCTCTGATGATGTGCCTCAGGATAGCCCTACTGTCTCAACTCACAAGGTGTCTCCATCAGACAGAACGCCCTGGGTGAGGCTTCAGGGCCAGGGAAGAGAGGAAATAGACACTGAGTACCTACCCAGTGCCTGGCTCTGCCACATGCCAAGATGCAGACACACAAGACACACTCCTGCCCTTAAAGAGCTCACCCACTGGGGGAGGAGAGGAAAAAGAAACATCATAGCCCTGACCAGTTTGGCTCAGTGGATAGAGCGTCGGCCTGCGGACTCAGGGGTCCCAGGTTCCATTCCGGTCAAGGGTATGTACCTTGGTTGCGGGCACATACCAAGTAGGAAGTACGCAGGAGGCAGCTGATCGATGTTTCTCATCGATGTTTCTAACTCTCTATCCCTCTCCCTTCCTCTCTGTAATAAAATATATTTTTTTAAAAAGAAACATCATAAAAATCATAAAAATGCAGTGTGATAAGTGCAATGAGAGTGAGTGTGAGCCAACTCTACCTGGGAGGTAAAGTGATCAAATAGCTGAGCTGAGCTTTACAGATGAGGTGGGTGGAGCTGGGCATTTCAGCAAGAAGAGCAACAGGGGCAAAGAGAAATAAGAAAATGCACAGAATGTCTGGAGAATTCTAAGGAGCTTAGGTGAGATAAGTACATTTCAAGGCAGGAGGGAGAGGCAGGTTGGCAGAGCCCATATCCTGGCTGCAAATGACACAATACTAAGCTTGACTTTATCCACCAGGGAACCTCTGCTGGGTTTAAAGCAGGGACAGAGGCATATTTCTGGTTTAGAAAGGTCACCTGGTAGCAGGTGGGAAGAAAGGGCTAGAGATGAGAAACCAGCAGGTCAACAAAACTCGAGGAGCAGGTAGCCTGAGAGCTCTTCAGGAGAAAGGAAGATGTGGGAAAGGGAGGGACAAGCTTCTGCCTGGATGAGAAGGAGCCCTCCCCCTCTACACACACCATGAGGCAACCTTTAGAGGGAGATAATGCATTCAGGTTGGACTCTGAGAACCCAATGTGCCTATGAAACATTGAGGGGACCATCCAGCAGGTGGAAATTTGGATCCAGAGCTTAGAGAGGTCTGGGTTCTAGAGCAGGAAAGGGGGAGGGCATGGGATGGGGTAGGGGGTGGGAGAGGAGTGAGCCTCAGGCTGGGGATGGGAGTGCTGCAGGGGGCTCCTCTGCCAGTTGAGGGAGTTGAGGGTCAGGCAAAGCTGGATGCCCCCCCGGAGCTGGTGGTACTATCCTCTGAGCACATGCTGTTGGCACAGTGGTTCTCATGGAGCTGCTCTATCCTCATTGCACCCTCGCTTCTCTGTCTTCTCAGCTGCTCCGTCCCCACTGGCAATCCTGGAGGAAGGAAACCCCTGCTGTGCACACAGGGCCTCAGGTAAGTCTGAGTAGTGGCAACAGTGCACCTGGGCTGATCCTGGGTTCTAGCAAGGCCAGAGGAAGAGCAGGGGAGAAGATGAAGGGGAAGCAAGGGTGCCTTAATCATCAGCAGCAGAGCAGCACTCTGGTGGGCTGAGAAGGAGAAAGGACAGCTGGGAGATGTGGTGATGCCACTGGGAGGGAAGGATGGAGCAGGGAGGAGTCTGAAGAAGCGCATGCACCAGGCTAGAGATGGGTGAGTGAGTGGCAAGGGGAAGACGTGGTAAAAGAGGAATGCAGGAGGCCCCCTCCCCCATCTGGGCTCTGGAACCTGTGTTCCCTGCTGCCACTGGGGTGGGCTTATGTGACAGGGGAAGCATCTGTGTGGACAGACGCAGGCAGGTCTGCTGGGGCCTCCCCATCAGCCTAGCACTCACAACAAGAATCCTCAGTGTCTGGTTGACCCGGAGGCCCAAGCCCAGGCTCCGGGCTCCCACCACAGAGATGCGGTTGTTGCTGCAACAGAAAAACATGTGCATTGTGCTATCTTCCGTGTAGCTGCACAGAGCCGGACTGTCCCAGGATCCAGCTGGCCCCTCTGGTGCATCCCCTAGGTAGGGTTTCAACCCCAGCCTCCACTCATGCTCCGGGGACCCTGAGCAGGGCAGGGTGTGAAAGCTGGATAGTGATCCTCCTTCGTTGGAGGCTCCTAGCATTCAGAGAGATCACCCAGCAGACATACTTGGAGAGGTTCTCTCCCTGCCCCCCAGCTGTTGCTCCTTGGCCCTCAGAGCTCAGCAGGTGTTCTCAGAGCTGGCCCCAGTACCTATCACCATGACGGCTGTTTCGGAAAACCACCCGGCTCCCTCCCCATGTCCTCTCCTCCTCCTTTTGCTGGACCTCAGCATGGCACTTTGTCTCCGGAGCCAGTCCCATTTCTTTCTGACTTCTCAGACCCCAGCTCTGGCCTCAAATGTCAGCATCTCTCATGGACTCCTCTGGCCTTGGCTCCTTACACGGGGAGGAAGGGAGGGAAGGACTACAGCAGACAGGCCCTGCTCAGTCTGCAGCTCCTGGGAGGGGCTCAGCCCTGGCAGCTCCAGCATGACCTGTTAGGCTTCTGTCCCTCTCTTTCCCTCTGGACTTGTGGTCCCTCCTCCGGTTACCTACCGAGGGCTGAGAGTCTGCCTGGGCGGGGAGGAGCAGCACACACTGCAGGCTCCCCGCCCCCCCCCCCCCCCCGCAACAGCCACGTGCTGAGGAGAGCATGCATGTGGACCCACTTATCAGAGTCAGCTCCTCTTCTGAAAGGGAGGAAAACTCACACAGAGCACCCAGCCCACATCAGGCTCTGCTGAGGAGACTTTTCATACACTTGCAATTCCCAGCCCCTGCCTGTGTGGTAGGAATTATGAGCCCAGAGTATAAGTGATGACCTTGAATGAGAGGATGGAGCTAGGTGCTCCTGGATTGTGGCTCAAGCCCATCATAGACTGTTGATCCGTTTGGGAATTGAAGTGGTGAACAGCAGCAAGATCACGGAGCCCCTGGTCCCTAGGGTGGCTATGGGCCCCGAGACTGTGACATGGGGGGCACCCCGTGCTCCTCACCTCATGTTGAGTTCCTCCAACACATTGTTGGTCCGAAGTGCCTCACCCACTGCAGAGGCTCCAGGGTCTCCAAAGCCATTGTATGAGATGTCCAGGACTCTCAGGAAGATGTTTGCCTGGGATACAAAAGAGCAAAGCCATGGGACCACAAGCGACAGTGGAGAAAGCCAGAGCCACAGCCTTCGAGCCCAGGACACCCAGGGTGCAGAGCACAGACTGAGAGCAGGACAGAGGTTCCAGGAAAGTCTCGGGGCTTGGATGATGGTGACCAGTAGAGCAGAACGACCGGAAGCACAGCATGGAGGGTGGGTGTGGGCGTGAATGCAGACCCCAGAGACGCAGTGAGCAGGCCCCACGCTTGCTTGGGGACCTCTTGAGGGCAGGCACCCCAAGGCACAGAGCAGCTCAGGGGCCTAGAGTTGGGTGAAACCTGCCCAGGGGGCTGTGATGGGGAGAAGGACAGGAGCTTGTGGGGATGCTGTGAAGACAGACCTGTCACCTTGTGGGGAAGGACCCCAGCTCAGCCCCTGTTAGAGCGCAAGACAGCAGCTGCCATTCCCTGAAGAGGACCCCCAAAAGATAGCTGACACAGAGGGCATTTCAGGCGTTTTGTTCCACCCTGGAAGAGACTGCAGCCACCCATTCCTCAGGCCTTTGGACCACAACCATGGGAGCAGGTGGCTTGTTAGAATGTGTGCTGGGATCTAAGCGTGTCACTCAAAGAGGCACCTGTGTGCATAGGGAGCATGTGTCCCCCACCATGGAGGGTCTATGATGTCTGGGGAAGGTGTGTAGTAATCAGCTGCGGATTCCTCAGTAAATGACGTGAGACTGGGCACAGTGTACTGAAGTCATAAAATGGGTCTGGAAAAATGAAAGACCCCCTAACAAAATATCCCTTAAGCTCTGCTTAAAAGGTCCAAGCCTCTTCTCTGAAGAGCTGCAATGATGGGGAGCTGCTCCCTGGGAGACCTGCCTTCAAGGGACAGGCTGGCTGTGGGGTGGGTGGGGGCCTCATACCCCCAGTCCTCTGGCAAAGGAGACAGCGCCTGGGCCTCGAAGATGATTCCAGCTCAGGTTAAGCTCGGTGAGTCCTGTGTTTTCTGCCAAGGCTGGTCCAAGCGTCTCCCCTTCCGAAACACCAAGACAGACCTTCTTATTCACTCTGTACGTCCCTTCAAAAAATGATCCTGATGCCCGCTGTGTGGCATGAGGATCACAGAGTTGAACCCAACATGGGCTTGCCCTGCCCCCAAGGTTTTCATATTTAAGGGGGGTGTGAGAAGTACAAATGAATGGGAAGGGAACTATTCTAAACTACAAACAGGAGGCATAGGAACAGAATGGGGGCTAATCCTATTTGTGGGGAGGTCAGGACAGTGAGGACAGAGGTGATAACCTTGAATGTCTGCACACATAGAGGAGAGCAGACAAGGAAAGACCAAATGTACACAGGGGGCATGGGGCACTGGTGGAAATGCACGCAGGCCTGGCACTGGGCAGGGTGAGGGGAAGCCAGTGAAATGAGGTAGGAGTGATGGGCAACTAAGAGGTGCTAAGAGGCCTTGAATGCTAGGCCAAGAGTCTTGGGCACTGCCCTATCATTGGTGAAGAGGCAGGGAGGGCTTTAAGAAGTGACAAGGCTGACCCTGGCCAGTTTAGCTCAGTGGATAGAGATCTGGCCTGCGGACCGAAGGGTCCTGAGTTCAAATTTGGTCAAGGGCATGTACCTCAGTTGCAGGCTCCTACCTTGCCTGGGCTCTGGTCAGAGTGTGTGCAGGAGGCAACCAATCAATGTGTTTCTCTCATATTGATGTTTCTCTCTGTCTTTCCCTCTCTTTTCCACTCTCTCTGAAAACCAATGGAAAAATATCCTCAGGTGAGGATTAAAACACACACACATACACACACACACACACACACACACAATAACAGCCTGGGGGGTGGTGACAAGGCTGGATTCCTTAGTGGGTGTAGGGAGTGGACTAGGGTTGGTGGGGGCAAATATGAGAGGGTGAGAGACTAGTTGAAAGCCTGATGCCATGGTCTAGGCTAGAGGTGACAAGACTGGCACAGTTGTAGTGGAGAGAAGGCGGTGGTGGTAGAGAAAGGAAATGGTGGAGGGCGGTGTGTAGAGTGAGAAACCCAAAAAGATATTTCGTATGTTAAGTGGACAGAAGCCCTAGCCACCCGCCCACCCCGCTCTTCACTCTGTGGACACTCAACCAGTCTGACCTCTTCTAGGTCTCAAAAGTGCCAGCACCAACTCCCCTCCTGGCTGTCCCCTGCGTGGAATTGTTGAGCTCCCTCTTCACCTGGCTAACAGCTCCTCATCCTTCTAACCTGAGCTCTTAGCATTAGAAAGCCTTTCCTACCCACTGGGCTGGGCCACCTTGGGCCTCGTGTTGACAGCTTTCATCCTTCCAGGCTCTCTGCCTAGTGTGTCTCCCTCATCAGCTTGGGAGTCCCACAGGGATCTTAATTTGACTCCCACAGGTCTAGTAAGGCTGGGTTGAAGAAATGCACAGATGAAAAAAGATGAACTGAGCAGAGCGCTCAGCCAGAACACTGGCCAGCAGACCCTGTAGCACCTTGGAGAGCAACTGAGAGACAGCAAAGACTCCCTGTACTATGTGTGCTGGGATTCCAGACCCCACCCAGGACTGGGTTTGACTCCTGCAGGTATGCGGGTTCTCAGATACGGTACTTTCCTCTTCTTCAGACACTTCCAGGGCTGGGAGAAGAGGGCGGTGGTCCCTCATGTTGTAGGGAAGCCCCTACTTTGTTGAACGGCTGGGGGGTGAGAATTTTCTTCTACACCCATGTATGAATTGACTTCTTGTAGTTCCAATGCGACCATTACCATGGGTCATGTGGGGAGACTGAGGCCCAAGCTCCTTCACCCCTCAAGGGAGTCAGATCCTTTCTCGGGGGAACAAATGACCCCACTATGTCTGTCCTCTTCCAAGCGGGGGACCCAGCTCCATATTTGTGTAGCCTTTGCAGGGCCTTAGCTTCCAGCCCCTCCATCCTGGCCACCTTTCTGGTGCAGGCCCAGAGGGATGCCTACCCAGAGGGATGCCTATATTTAGTTTGTTGAAAGTTTGTCACTGGCGTCTCACAATAATTTTCTTAGAAGGCAAACTGACATTCTGGCTGTTAAATTCTAGGGCTGTTTCTCACAGGCCAAGGCTGTGCCACCCCACTCACTCTAAGCAGCTTGAGACAGAGCAGTGATTCCCAAACTTTCTGGACCAGACAAATCTCCTGGTCTTCCAGTAAAGACACAGATGCATCCCCTCCCCTAAGTCTGGTTCAGCAGGTGCCCAGGGATCTGTATTCCTAACCCAGGGTCCCAGGGGATTCTTATAATTTATTGGAGTGGTTGGGGGCAGGCAGGTCAAATGCCATGTTCTGGGCAAAGCAGACAGCCCATGCAATGGCCCTGGAGCATGAGAGAAAGTAGTAAGGCCAAGGAATCTCACTGATGTCTTCCACAGCACTTAGAATAAAATCTTCATGCCTTTTGCCATGTTTTGTAGCCCTTCAGCCCCCTGTTGCCTCTCTATCCCACGGCCTAGCCACTCTCCCCTGGCTCACTGATGTCTGCCAGTCTGGGTAATAGGCCTGCATGTTTATTGTCCTTCTGCATGAAATGCTTTCCCTCTGACCTTTCCATGGCTGATTCCTCCCCACCCTGCTCATTTCAATTTAAATGTCATCTCTGCACAGAGGCCACCTCGGCCACCCCTCTAATGGGTGGTTCCCATTTTTCTCTAGAATCATGCCCTGTTTGTTTCTTTTGTAGCATCAATAATTATGGAGAGTTATCTTGTTAATATGTGTTCCTTGAGGCCAGGGCCTTTATTTTGTTCATGGCTAGATTCTTAGTGGCCCAATCAGCTCCCAACACATGTAGCAGCAAGCAGTGAGATATTCGTGGAGTGGATTAAGAGTCCTGTGTGGAAGGAGTGGGAAAGGGGCAGGTCTCTGTGGGACCTGAGGAGCAGGAGCCAGAGCATGGATGCTCAGATGGGTCCTGCCACCCTCCACCCACCTCTGCCCCAGGAAGAGGAGCTCAAGTGGCTCATGGTGGCCTTGGCCGGGTATTACCTGCTTGGTCATTTAGCTGGTTATAGCTCAGGTCCAGGGACTTCAGGCCCGTGTGGGCCAGCAGCAGTTCAGCGAGGTACTGGGCTGCCTGCTCCTCCAGGCTGTTCCCTGCCAGCTGTACCTTCTGTATGGCAGGGTTTGCCATGAGGGCAGCGCAGACGGCCTGGGCTCCCACCGCTCCCAGCTGGTTCTCCGACAGGTCCACATCTGGGGGTTGGCACCACTCCTGTCAGTGGAATTCAAAGCCAGGCGCCATCCTCCTCCACCCTATTTCATCCCCTAAACCTCCAGTGTGCTAGAGGTGGCAAAGGGGCTTTGTAGCCGTACTGTCGTCCAGGGAGTCGCTACGGCTGTGCATGGCGACTCCGGCACCTATCAGGTGGGTTTTCTCAGGCCCCAGGTAGCTTCCCTGCTGCCCATTCCTACCCCATGTGTCCATGAGCTTCTTTGTCAAGGAGCTAAAACCACCTACTTCCTGTTGCTATGGAGAATGCCTGTGGTGGAGATGTGGCCACCCTGTTGTCATTTGAGCCTGGTAGTAATACAGGCCCCCCCTCCCAGAAGCTCTCACTGCCATATTTCTGGGGACTGACAATTATTGTCTAAGTGGTCATGCTCAGAGCACCTATGTGGGCCAGACACTCATCACTTATGTGGGCCACATGCAGTTTCACTGATTCTCACCACATCTCCAAAGTCTAAGTGGTATTGTTGTGCCATTTCACAGATTGGAAATTGAGGCTCAACAAGGTTGAGCTTCTTGCCCAGGGTCACCCTTCTTATTAATGGCAGAGGCAGCATTTGGATCCAGTCCCACCAAACACCCACCCAACCCTCCCTCCTCTCACCCTGCCTAGCCCCTACCTGTGTGTCAAAGGACTCTCCCACCTGCGCTCAGGCACTGGGAGGCCACCACATGAAGAGTGTGCCGGCCAGGGGAGGAGGTGAGTGGGTGGCGTGGGGTTGGTCAGGAAAGGAGTGGCATCAGCTTTGGGTGAACCACAGAAGGTAACTCCACCCTTGTGATGAGGTCCCCTCCCCAGCAACACCAGCAGGTCCCAGGTGAGAAGCTCTGGGGGCAGGGTACACCCCTCAGAAAAGGGAGGACTCAAGCCTGCCCACCTACCACAGATGCTGCTGCTTTTGCTCAGGGCGTGCGCCAGGGCCTCTGCGCCGGCCCCACGGAGCCCGTTGTCCCGAAGGTCCAGCCGCTTGACATAGGGATTGGAGGATAGTGCAGGAGCCAGAGCCCGGGCCCCCTAGGACAGAGAGGGGCCTGAAAGGCCTGATCCTTCCCTGGGCTGAAGGCCCCAGACGTAGATAGCTGCTACCTTGGCTCATGTTTCCAGGGCTCAGCCCACTTGGTGCCTTCCAGCTGGAAGGCCCTCCCTTTTCCACATGCCCAGGGGACACCTGCTTCTCGTTCTAGGCTCCACCTAGATCCCACCTCCTGGAGCCTTTCCTGATTCCCCCCCTCCAGCAGGCTAGGTGCCCACTGCAGGCTCCCCAGCCCTGATTGAATTCTTTCAAAGCCCTGATCTCACCTGTCACCCACCTAGGTGGGACATGCCTGGGACAGGCTCAGGAAGGGGGCTACACCCAGGCTGCTGCCTCCCAGGTCCTGTCCCTACAAGCCTGGCCCCAAGGTCCCTCCAGGGCTACCTGGGGCCCCAGGCCACGGTGCCGCAGATTCAGCTCTGGGGCTCTCCCTTGGCGCAGAAAGCGGGAAACGGGCACGGCACCGTGGGCCCGGCAAGACCTCAGGTAGAGGGTGTCCTTGACCAGTTCTCTGAGCCCATGGGTGCCTAGTAGGAGACAGAGAGAAGAATGTGGATCCCTCTTCAGGCACAGCCAGCCACCTTCCAAGGGTTCCCCTGTCCTCTGTCACCGCCCAGCATTTCACTCTGCAGCGTGTTCTAATAGTGGAGCTTCTGATGCCCCAGGAGCACTGTAGGGAAGGCACAGGGAGTTGCCGCCACCGGCTATGCTGAAGGTGTCCCACGGAGGGATGAGCTCCCTGCTCTGCTGGACAAGGGCCCCTGTCCACTTGATCCCAGCCTGTCCCTCCCACTCCTGCCAAAGAAGCCCCAAAGGTGAGACCAGCCTAGCAGGCCCTGCCCAGAGGCACCTTCCGTCTCCAGGTTAGAGTCTGAATCTGTGTCTGAATCCTCAGCCTCCGGGACCCCTGCAGGACGCCCAGCCGCCGTAGCCGCCGCCACCTCTTTCTCCTGTTCTTCACTCTCCCCAGACTTCTCGCAGGGGCCCCTCATGGTTATATCCATTTTGCATTTGCGGGCACCGATGTCAGGACTACACACACCACATCATTAGCCAGGGAATCTGGGCGGACCCTCCGACCTCACCAACCAATTGCATGTGGTGTGCAGCGAACAGGCTTCTGTTGCAGCAAATAGAGACCGACGCAGTCACCCGGGCAACCTGGTGTTGTTGGTTGCTGCAGAAACCGCCTCTAGTCTGCTCTGAACTTGAGTCCGCTCTTAGCTAGGCGGACAAGACCTTGAGTGCAAGGGGGGTGGGGGGTGGGGGGCGCTTTGCGGGTGCTTCTTCTCCCTGCCATCTCACGCGGTTCCAGCATCGCCCCCCTTCCCACGGCTGGAGGAGGTTCCTGACTCTGGGCTGTTAGTTCCTGCGCTTGGGGGATGTGGGCAGTTTGTGAGGAGGGCATTACACAGGAAGGCTTGGGGAACCTTGCAGAGCCTGGCCACCCTCCTCTCAAGCCAGTCACGCTCTCTGTGGTCCCAGTTCTGTCATGCTCTAGCGTCGTATATGCAGCTTCCTCCACCAGGAACGTTCCTCCCCAACTTGGTTGAACTTCAGAATCTTCAAGTGTGGGTTCAGAGGTCACTTCTTTCTGAAGCTTTCCTTGGCCCTTCCTCTGGACCCCTGCAACCCCCAGTACCTCTCACGGTACCTATACCACCTATCAATCATCCCCTCATCACCCAAGGAAGTGAGGCCAGAGGGCAGGGGACAGGGGCTGCTCCTCTCTGTGTGCCCAGGGTCTGGCAGAGGGCGTCTGGAGAGGCCCAGGGCAGCTGGGGGCTGGGACTGAACCCATGATTGGGAGGTGAGAGGGGAGGCTGGATCCTGCCCCGAGTGGATCCTGTCCCTTTAATAGCTGCTGGCCAGGTCCTTCTTGGGCTCCTGCTTTATCTCCTGTTCAGCTGTGACTGCAGCTGCTCTGCTGACTCATGTGCCCCAGCAGCCAGCAGGAGCTGGGAGCATGGGCTCCCCGGGGCCCTTGGCAGACTGGGGGCTTCTGGATTACAAGACCGAGAAGTATGTGATGACCAGGAACTGGCGGGTGGGCGTCCTGCAGAGGCTGCTGCAGCTCGGGGCTCTGGTCTACGTGGTAGGGTAAGAGCGGCTCCTGGCCACGTTGGCTGAAGGACCATGACTGTCCTGCTGGGCTGAGGGTTGAGGGTTTGATTCTTCAGGGGCCGGGCTGGTGGTAGTGGAGGCCGGGGCAGGTTGGGACAGGGTAGTGGGTAGGCAGAGGAAGGATTTCTGTCTGTATAGGGGCCAGTGGGCGCAAGAATAAGCCGTGTGCCCACCTGCCTCTTTTCCTGAGCCCCATGTTGGGCTCTGGGCACAGAGTAGGATGGGCTCCACCACGTGCCCATGAGGCCCTGGGCAGGGCAGGATGTAGCCCCTGACACTTGTGAGAGCTAGAATACTAAGGCCCCCGATAGAATACTAAGATTCCCCTGATAGAATACTAAGATTCCCCTGACTCACCAGTTCTGGCTCGGTCAGGGGAATCTTTAAGGAGGAAGCTGGGTCTAGCTGGGGCAGGGGGAGGGTTTTGGCTGGTGAAAGAATTGGTAGGGGGCATCTCCAAGCCCATGAGTGCCTAATAGGAGACACCATATGGGCACCGGGTCTCCGCAGCATGGCCTGTGCTTCTAGCCTGTGCAGGGTGTTGTGGGGGCGGAGGGGGGACGTGATGGGGATGAGCATGGAGAGGAAGTAGGGGACTTGAATGGTTCTGGGAGCCTACAGGGTGTGAGGGAGGAGGCTGAGAAAGTAGGGTCCAGCTCGGCCACTGCTCACAGTGTGCCAGGGACATACCATACTGCCCATTGCTCCTCCCCAGGTGGGCCCTCCTCGTCAAGAAAGGCTACCAGGAACAGGACCTGAACCCCCAGATTTCCGTTATCACCAAACTCAAAGGCGTTTCTGTGGCCCAGATCAAGGAGCTGGGGAGTCGGCTGTGGGATGTGGCTGACTTCGTGAAGCCGGCGCAGGTGGGTGCCTCAGTGCTGTCGCCAGGTGCTGACACCTGAGACCACCGTCGCAGCACACGTGTGCAAGAGAGGCATGTGATGCCGGACGGGGTGATGACAGCTGGCGCTGTCACAGGGCTGGGCTCGGGAAGGGCCTTACAGGGGAGAGGCACCTGGACAGGGCTATGGGGATGTGTAAGAGGTTTCCAGGTGACTGAGAGGAGGGCTCAGGAAGCCAGGCCAGGGGCAGTACATTTACAAAGGCTGCATCTGGAAGAGTGGAATGTCTGGGAACTTGACATTGAGCTTGAGCTTGAGGGTAGGGTGGGAAGGGCATGGGGGGCCAGGCCCTGGAACTTCCTGTATGTCTGCCTCCCTGACCTGGGGGGGCTGCCGTCAGGCCCTCCTCCGCTGCCCCTCCTACACTGCATTCTGACCGCTTCTCCTACCCAGATTGTCCACAGTCCGCTCCCACCTCTGTCCTGCTGATGCCCAAATTGTATCCCCAATGACACCTGCCCTGAGCACAGTTGCCTCCTGGGTGCACACCCACCACGTCCAAAGAAAAATCATCTATCTCCCTCTCCCCGGTGGCCTCTTTTCATCCACCAGTGCAAAAGCTGGACGCAGCTTGACCCCTTCCTGCCCCCACCCCAGCCTGTCCATCGCCGAACAGTTTTCACTGCTGCTCAGGCCACACCTGGATGAGGCTGTGGTCTTCGAGTGGGTCCCAGGTGCACACGCAGCAGTCAGGCTGAGCTTCCACAGGTGACATCATCAGAGCTTGCCAGCCCTTGCCTCCCACCCTGGGGAGTCTCCCTGTCCATGATGGTAGCCACCAAGTCCCTCCAGGTCCTGACCGCTGTCATAGACCTCTGCCCAGCCCTTGCCTCCCCTTCCTGGGTGTACATGCCCCCAAATTCACAGAGCGCTTATGCTCAGCACACGGGTGCCAGCCACTCTTCCTGTCCTTGGCCACCATTTGCCCAGGCAGAGCTCACCACCTGCTACCCTGGCCCTTGGCCATGCGTGCAATGAGGGGCCTGCCTTCCGACCAGCTGGGCATGTGCCTGGCCCAACTCAGTTCTAGATGTTTAGTGCCTGGAAACAAGAGCTCCTAGAAAATTCTGGTTAAGGGAATGAGCATAAACATGAAAAATACACTTGTCTCAAAGAGGCAGACATGGGCTCAGAAATGGCCAGAAACCCAGCTAGCCTCCCATCTCTCCTTCAATGTGCCTCCCTGGAGGCATTGTCCTGGGCACGGGGCTCCTTCCCTCACACACCAAGCTGCCAGCTTCTGTCCCCTCCCATTGAGGGAGCCATGTCGCAAACCCTGACATTTGCCTTCTAGGGGGAGAATGTGTTCTTCTTGGTGACCAACTTCCTTGTGACGCCAGAACAAGTTCAGGGCAGGTGCCCAGAGGTAAGGTTGCCCCGAAAACTTCCAGCGGTTCCCAGTTCCTCTTCCAGCCCTGGGTCCCCAGCCGTGTCCTCCCTTCTTCCCAGGGTGCCTGAGGGCTCAGTATGTATTACTGTATTCCAGGCACTGGGATAAAAATTTTCTGTGAATCATTTCACGTAGTTTTCACAAGCACCCTGCCTGGTAGGAATTACTGCAATTCCTCCCAGCCTGTGGGTACAGGACTCTGGACTTCTGGGAAGTATGCTTCCAGAACCTTCCACCGTCATTCTCTGTGGGATATCCAGGCCCCTTCCCATCCTGATTCTGCCTCTAGGCACTTCCCTATTGTCAGTGGGACACCAGGAGCTGGGCACCATGCTTAGGTGGGCTCTAACAGCAAGAACCAAGCTGGGAGATCACCTCCCCTTCTCTGTGCCCAGCCTCTAGTGGTGTGACCCCAGGCAGTTTTCATTGTTGTGGGCAAGCAGAGCATACTCTTGCTTATGCGTTCAGGCTCATGCCCTGACCAGAAATTGAATCTGCAATCCTTCTGTGCACATGATAATGCCCAACCAACTGAGCTACACCAGCCAGGGCTTATCTTAACCATTTTTTTAAATTTTTTTTATTTTTATTGTCTTTTTACAGAGAGGAAGGGAGAGGGATAGAGAGTTAGAAACATCGATGAGAGAGAAACATCAATCAGCTGCCTCCTGCACACCCCCTACTACTGGGGATGTGCCCACAACCTAGGTACATGCCCTTGACCGGAATCGAACCCGGGACCCTTCAGTCCGCAGGCTGAAGCTCTATCCACTGAGCCAAACCAGTGAGGGCTATCTTAACCATTTTTAAGTGTACGGTTCCCCAGCTATAAATTTTGTTTGAACAATTGGGACCCAGGATATAACTCGGGAAACCTACCTCCATGGTGACAACTTCCTTTAATTGAGTCCAACGTTGAATTGCTTGCTGGACTGTGTGCTCATCTGTCCCCCGATCCCTGGATGTCGGTCCCACCACAGTTGCCGAGGGTACCACATGTCCCCGGCTGGCCCTGCTCTCAAAGAAGGGGAGTCACGTGCACAAAGGATGTGCTTATGCTTGCGAAGCACACACGATGTCCTTCCCTCTCTGATGCTCAGAAGACATCTATTTAATGTTCAGTTTATCGCCTGTTCTGATTTTTGCTGCGGCCATGGTTCTGTGTTTTCTGGAATCCGTGTGATTCCTCTTTGCCCATGTCCTGGCGTTGGGCCCTTCCTAAGAAACTGCCAGGGCACAGCATTCATTTGATCTGAAAACCCAGCTTCCTGAGACGAGCCAGAGTTCCTGCCAGCTCTTCTCAGGAGTCCTGGCCATCTGGTCCCTCCGAGCATATGTACTGTGCTCCTTCGGCAAACACCTGCCAAGCCTCCCCCTAGGCCAGGCCCTGTGCTGGTCTTGAAAAGCTCTGCCCCCTGTACTTCAAGAAACTCCTGCACAGACAGCCCCGCCAAAGTGGCTGTCCTGTGATGGGGACAGATGCTGCAGCTGGGGGACCAGGGGAGGCGCTTCTGCCTGAGGCCTCAGGAAGGGTTTCCCGTGGGACTGGAGGCTCAGGTGGGATCTTAAAGATGTCCGGGCAGAGGGCTGTGTGGGCAAGGACCTGAGCTGTGTGAGGTGAGGCAGCTCCAGGGTCATTTGCTGCTGAGTGGGTCTGGGGCCTAGACTTGGACTGGGGTGGGAAGGGGGTGGCCCGAGATCTCAGGGGCCCTGTGAACTAAGGAGGTGAATTCAATCACAGGAGCGGCAGGCAGCCATGGAGGGCTGGGGAGGGGTGCTCCATCTTCTCTACATGGCATGGACCACTCCAGTTGCTGGGTGGAGGTGGATGAGGTCAGAGGCAAGACCCGGTGGTGGTCACCATGGAGTCCAATTGGAGGACATGGTGGCCCAGCCAGGGTGGAGGAGAAGGGCAGACTTAGGACACAGTTAGGGACAACAGGGCAGAACAAGTGGCCCCACACTGTCCTCTGCCCACTTAGCACAGTCCCACCCCCCAAAAGTCCCATCATCTCATTTGGCTTCTCAGAATCCCCAAGCCCTTCCTTGACACTGTGTTCTTCCTGCTGCCCCTGAGCTGGGTGCCCTGGACAGTGGTGTCCATCATCTGCCCCAGCAGGACGTGTCTGTGCAAGTGCCTGATGCTCAAGGGTACCTTCCTCTCCAGGTTCTGGGACCCCAAGAAAGCTCACCTCTTTCCCCTCCTGGCTGATCCCAACTCTGTGACGGTGTGCCTGCATTAATGCCCCTGTTTTACTGAAGAACAGGCAGGGAAGGGTCTAGGCCAGGGGTGGGCAAACTTTTTGACTCGAGGGCCACAATGGGTTCTTAAACTGGACCGGAGGGCCGGAACAAAAGCATGGATGGAGTGTTTGTGTGAACTAATATAAATTCAAAGTAAACATCATTACATAAAAGGGTACGGTCTTTTTTTTTTTAGTTTTATTCATTTCAAACGGGCCGGATCCGGTGGCCGTAGTTTGCCCACGGCTAGCCTGTGAGGTCCTACTTCCTCCTACTTCCCTACCCAGGCCCCTGTCCTTTGTCTGCCACACCCAGTGACTCCAGCATGAACTTACCCTTCCCAGGGTCCCTCCACCTTCCCTGTTGTGTGATCTGAATTGTGATCAGAGGAGTTGGGCCTTGATAAACCACTTCTGTGCCCACCAGGGACAGAACTACCAAGAGGAAAGGAGTCTTGCCTTGCTTTGGAATACAGCACCTGCACCCCTCTGGTTGGGGGCTGCCCGCCCTCCCTGCTCTGACCACTTCATTTTATTTGCACCTTCCAGCTTTTCCATGTGCCCCCAAACTCAGAGAACCCTGGGGGACTAAGGCAGGTGGGACAGGTCCCTGTGGCCTGCCGGGCTGGATCACCCACTGGGCCCTTGACAACTCTGCTCTCACCCACCTCAGCACCCCTCCATCCCGCTGGCTAGCTGCTGGGCCCACGAAGACTGTCCTGAAGGGGAGACAGGGACACACAGCCATGGTAACCATGGGCCCAGTCTTCCAGTGCCTCTACTGGGAATGGGGCTGGGGGTGGGGGGGCAGGCTGTGCCCCTGGGTGGCTCCTGGGTACAGGCCTGGTGGTGCCTCTATGTCTCCGTTCTGTCAATAGCCCCTTGTCCACCCATCCCCCACCTCAGGTCTAGAGTCTGTCTTGTGTTTTCAAGGCATAAAAACAGGCCAGTGTGTGGTGTTCAATGAGACCCACAGGACCTGTGAGATCCTGGGTTGGTGCCCAGTGGAGAGCGACACTGTGCCCACGTAAGTCTCCCCCAAATCCCAAGGCAGGGTGCCAGGACCTGCAGGGCCTGCCCCTCACCTCCCCCACCCCACAGGGAGCCCCTACTGGTCCAGGCCGAGAACTTTACACTGTTCATCAAAAACACCGTCACTTTCAGCAAGTTCAACTTCTCCAAGTAAGTATGGGTGAGTCCTGAGGGGCCCAGACTCTCCGTATCACCATCCTGGCCTAACCTTCCCTCCCCCACCCGCTCAGATCCAACGCCTTGGAGACCTGGGACAACACCTATTTCAAGCGCTGCCGATATGACCCCCGCTCCAGCCCCCACTGTCCGGTGTTCCGCATTGGGGACCTCGTGGCCGCAGCTGGAGGGGTCTTTGAGGACCTGGCCTTGCTGGTGGGTCTGTGGTGGGCGGGGTTCTGGGAGGACTCAGGGAGAGGGTCCCAGCCCATGTGACAGTGGAACATTGATGTGCTGTGTGCAGGGCGGTGCGATAAGCATCCATGTCCTCTGGGATTGCAACCTGGACACTGGGGGCTCTGACTGCCAACCCCACTACTCCTTCCAGCTGCAGCAGAGGAGCTACAATTTCAGGTGCCGCTGCCCCCGCCCCCAGTGCCCCATGCTGCTCCTCAGCCAGGTGCACCTTCACCTGTCCTCCTGTGGAGGTCAGGACAGACCCCACCCCTGCCCAGCCCTCTGGATGCTCCGCTCTGTGTAAGAGGGCGGTCCCAGGAGCAGGAGGGGGTATTCTCAGCTCCAGGTCCCCCAGAACAGGCCCTGTCCAGCTGCCCTCCTGAGCTCTTCCCCTTCACCTCATCTGTCCCCACACCTGGGTTATAACTGGGACCCCTCACCTCCAGCCCCTCCTCCACCCCACCCTGCCTCAGCATCTCCCCTCCACAGCATAGGGAGGGGGGGCTTGCTTTTTTACTTTTTCCTTAAGGTTTTATTTAAAAATTTTCTTAAATCTATAGAAAAAGTTCAAAGATTAATATCATGAACACGTATATACTCTTCATCTGAGTTCCCCAGAGTTTTTTATTTGTTTGTTGTTTTACCATTTGCCGTATTTGCTTCTCCCTTCCTTTCTAGAATGAGCCAGATATACTAGTAATTAGATAGATTTCAGATGCAACCTTTGAAAAGTAAGTGGCAGACATCTAGATACTCACTCACCCTTCTCAACACTGTGCTGAGAATGAGGACATTCGCTATGGGACGTTCCATGTTGTCACACTCAAAAACTTTAACATTGGCAGGCTCTGGCCAGTATGCTCAATGGTTAGAGCGTTGCCCCCCCCCCCCCCCCCCCACAAAAAAAAAAAAACACACTCACTGAAGGTTGTGGGTCTGATTCCCAGTCAAGGGCACATACCTGGGTTCACTGACCTCCACCAGCCCTTTGCAACTCTATGGGGGTGGGTCCCTGCCCACACCCTCCCCCCCTCATCTCTGTGCTCTCACTGGCCCTACTGTCTCTGCCTAGAACTCCTTCCTGAACCCCAAAACCCAGCCTGAAAGTCTCGCCTGCAGGAAGCCTTTCCTGCTTCCTAGGAGAGAGTGAGTTCCACCCTTTGGATGCTCACAACCCTGACCTGACCCCACTCATGTAAACCGACGGCCAGTGTCTGTTTAGAGACTCTTATGTCTCGTCCCTGTGCCCTCAGAGGGCAGGGAGCTTCTGAGAGGCAGGTTCTGGTTTGCTTTTCCCCTGTGTCCTCAGCAGGGGCACAGAGCTGAGACCCAGGATTTTGGAGTCAATGGGATGAGCAAGATGGAGGCTTGGGAGGGCCAGCCAGCTGGGAGCGGGCAGAGCAGGCCACCAGACTTTCTCTTGCCCGCAGGACAGCCACTCACTGGTGGGAAGCCTCAGGCGTGGAGGCCCGGAGCCTGCTTAAACTCTATGGGATTCGCTTCGACGTCATCGTTACTGGGCAGGTAGGAGGGGCCGGGTGGGATGGGCAGAGCTGGGGTGGAAGGAGGCAACAGTCATGGTCTGAGACTCAGCCCAGGTGTCTCTCAGGCAGGGAAGTTTGGGCTCATCCCCACGACCATCACTTTGGGCACCGCAGTAGCTTGGCTGGGCGTGGTGAGTGTGGCCGATGTGGGCTCCCTCTGGCTGCAGACTGCGCGTGCCCAGACCCGCCTGCATGCACACTGAGCCCCCTTTGCCTGCTGTTGAGTCTGGGAGTGAGGGTTGGGGAGGGTGGCATGAGGGCAGGCTGGGGCCGGGACATGGGTCTACCCTGACTCTCCCAGATCACCTTCTTCTGTGACCTGCTGCTGCTGTACGTGGATGGAGAAGCCCATTTCTACTGGACAACCAAGTATGAGGAGGTGAGCGGTGGGCCTGCTCCGCCACCAGGTGCTGCTGCACTTGGAGGCTGTTGGCCAGAGCCCTGACCTAATGTCTTCATCTGCAGGCAAAGGCCCCGAAGTGACCGCCAGCCCTGAGCAAACAGAGCCGGCCTCTTCACCCCCGACCCAGGCTGCCCACGTGGCTTAGAGGCGGCCCAGCTCCTGCCCCAATGGCCACTGCTTCTGAGAGCCAGACGCTGATGCCAGGGTGGCCCTGCCCGGGCTCTGGCCCCCACTCGCTGGCCCATTCTTGAAGCCTGTAACCATTTCCTTGTGGCTGCAAAGGGTGGGTCCCGCCTGGGGGACCACATGGATGAAGCCCCTGCAGAACCAGGGTGGGGCGTGGTGGGGAGAATTCTACTGTCAACTCCCAGGCAGACTGTCCTTCCCCTGACTCCAGCTTTGGAGCAGTGCTGCCTGGGGAGTG